AAGGTCATTCTGCAGTGGGGGGCCTGGATTCAAACATTGGTTTAGACTAGGGGCTCCGCTGTTGGCTTTGGTTGAGGCGTCGTAGACGATTTTCACCTTTGTTGACTCAGCGCTTTCTCTTATCACGGGTTTGTGGGGGATGTAGAACTCTACTCCTTGGGGGTCTTGACTGGCAACTTCCACAATGCCTTCTGCCTTTTGGGTGTCAATGATCTTGGAGTAGCTATCTGTTAACCCGTTCTGTTGTAGCTTGCGTTGCAGGTTGGCGAGTCGTCGTAGACTTCCATTGTAGTTGTTCGGCAACTGTGGGTGATTGCCCTTCCACGGAAGGCCCGTTTCGTACCACCCTTCTTCACTTCTTGTGAGCTGTTCCCGAAACTCGGCATACACTTCGTGTTGATCATGTTCTGGGTTGTCTGCTAGTCCAAGAACGTCCATCCGACACAGTTCTTCATAGTCGGATTGGCTCGTCTGCGTGAGAAACATAGCAGAGTAGTCAAGCTCCTTGCCCTGAGCTAATATGGTCCAGCCAAACTTGGTTCTTTCGGCGACCGGTTCACCTATTTTACCAACCCGAGGTTTTTCGTTGGTTTTGATACGCATGTAATCACCTGCTCCCAGAATTAAATGTACCGGTAGCTTTGGTTTCTGGTCTTTGTCGTCCATTTGCACACCATCGAGATGTTGATAGGAATTTATCAGTGTTGTATAGTTTGGGTTGTCCACATATAGCAGTTCTCCTTTGTCGACTTTCGTAACACTCACATCCATTGCAAATTCTCCATTCACTGCCTCTACACACACAGTCGACAGTTCCATTTCCTTCGTTACTGAGCCAAGCATCATCTCAACACGTCTCACTTCCTTTTTACGAGTTCGTTTCGGCAGCAAATCCAACAAGGCAGCTGAAGCGTACGAATTCCCTGAACCGGTATCTAACAGCGCACGACACTTTATACCCTCGACACTTACTACTACAACTGGATACACTAACGGACCCCCATTCGATCCACTCGCGGTTAAAAGCTGATCCTTCTTTGTACATATTGATGAGTGATGCTTCATATTACATTTCGAACATTTGTGAACACTCTTGCAGTCTGCTGCTCGATGTTTAGTTCCGGTACAATTAAAGCAAAGTTTCTTTTCTGCCAGTAGTTTCTTTCGTTGATCGATGTCAGTTACAGTCAAGCAATCCTTCGAGTTGTGGGTTTCAGCATCACAATAAACGCATGCTCGTTTACGACGATCACCGTCCTTTGCATAATAAAATCCAGACTTACGTTGTTTCTTGGTATTCCCGCTTTCATCAACTGGATTAATATCTCTCCATTTCTTTAACTCCACGATAAGGCGTGTAAGGTCCCAATCTTGCCAGCCCTCATTTCCTCTCACCAGATCTACTTTAATTACTTTGAGTTTCTCCAGTACACTCCTTGTCATACCGCTTACTTTGTCCAACTTGCCCAGAGTTTCCAGCGCTTGCGTGTTGTATAACAGGCTCTTGTAAAAATCATTCACTTTGGCAGGATTAGAGTCTGTAATAACAGGTAATCCCATTATGTTTTGAACGTGAGAGTTCACTATCTCGCTTGTTTTCCCATATTCATTTTTAAGTATGTTTTTCGCTCTTTGATATCCTTCTGAGGTAAAAGGTAATCCTTCTATTTCTGCTCTAACTTTCGGCTCTAACCATTCTTTCAAAAACGCAAATTTGGTCACGGAAGGCACGTCAGATTTATCGATTTCTGCCTCGAATGTATTCCAAAACGGGAGCCAATTTTCAAAATTTCCATTAAATTTTGTCACGGGTAATTTGGGTAATTTAATAGACGTTGATTTTTCTTGTTCTTTCGCTGATGTCTCGATTGATTTCTGATATTCCAGTTGTTTATTTAACAGTTCAGTTTTGTGCTTCAATTCCCGCTTTCGTTCTTCATCCTTCGCTGCTTGTTCTAGCTCGAACTTTTGTTTTTCGAATTCAAGTTGTTTTTGTCTTTTGATATCTATGGCAACGCGTTCGGTTTCTTCGGCTGCTGCTCTCTCTGTTTCTTTAATCTCACTCAAACGCTCTCGTATTTCACTTACTTTGTTATCTGCTTCGCTAATTCTCGACTCGACTTCCTCAGCCCAGTCTCGTATATTTTCCTCAGAATCGTTGTCGGTAAATTTGATCTCCTCTATTTCCTCCTTTAAGGCATATATTGCTTGAATTCGGTTCGTTATTGAACTAATTTGTCGCGTTAAAACCTCGGTTTTAGTAGAATCAATAACTTCGTCAGACTTTTTGATCGCAAAGTTCAATGCTTTTATTTTCCCAGTTAATTCCAGTAGCTTTTTGTCAACAATCTTAGACATATTCGATATAATATTTCACGTCACGCTCGTCACAAATCACAACAAAATCTCGATATAAATGCTTTGGATTGTACCAAAACACAGCTCAAATCGCGTCGGTAGGTGCCACTATGTTGGGGATTGCCTCCAAGTATCGCCCAAAATAAATCACAACAAAACACAGTATAACATCTATTACAAAATCACAAGTTTCACAGTTTTACAGCCACATGTTTTTAAGTTTTCTCCTGGAAAAAACAACAACCACCGGTATAATCCGGAACTTTCCGAAGTGTTCAAAGTTTGGACTCGCGCGTCCCACGCGTGAACATAAATACTAATTCTAAATTACGACAGTTTCCGACAGTTGGGCGATATTTTCATTAAAAATCGTATCGTGATTATCGTCTAGAAAATTATCACGACATTGAATTCGATAATATCGCGTTAAAGGACATTGGCAATAAAAAATTGGTTTAGTTCATTTGAAAGAACTTTTAAAACTATATATTAAACTCTATTACAGATTGTTTATATCTTGCTTAGTTTTCAAAATATTTCGACTGAAAAAAGTGAGCTGTTCGCCATCTTGGATTATTGAGGATATGCATGTTACGTCAAGAGAGGGGTCACGCTAATTTTTTATCTTGAGAGTAAGCGATCAATATGGGTCCAAAACTTCGTTTCTGGTTACTGTCTGAAATTTAGAAATGATTAAAAACATTTCAAACAATTTTGGATTGTTACTCGGTTATTTTAGAGTAGTTTTATATGGTTAACCAAACTCCTGACGTCATCAAAACCATAGTTAATGAGGCAAAGAATTTTTCCAAAATGGCGGAAAGCTCATTAATTTCGGTCTAAATATTTCGAGAACTAAGCAAGATATGACAAATCAGTAACAGAGTTTAATATATAATTTTAAGAGTTCTTTTGAATGAGACAAACTAATTTTTTTTGCCAATGTCCTTTAAATGCAATGAAATCAATGTACAGTTTCAATTTTACTTAATATAAAAACACTGTACACGTGACAAGCCACATTAATAGCTAATAAGTAAAAAAAGTTATTTGCGTCTTATTTGAACATAATTTATAAGTCCGACTCTGTTCCGCAAGCCGTCACTAAACTCACTAAGACATTTCAAGTCTTTCTTGAATTCTTAGGAAGCTTATTCTTTCATTATATTCTGGTGCTTATGAGGTGGTCACAGTTAACCAAACTGACCAGGTTTGTACTTTATACTCTTTATAGTAAACGTATATCAGGTACTCCATAGCAAAGTCTGTTACCGACTGGATGAAAGCATAGCAAAGTCAGTTACCGACCTGAAATCTAGTCCAGTTCAAATTGGAGGACTTGAAATGACATCTCATACGAGTAAATCACTACTTAAAGTGAGGTGAATTAATTTTGATCTAGCCAAGGACTGAATTAATTTTGATAGAGTCCCAGGACTGGATCAATATACTTCGTCAGGTATCAAAAATTTTTATGTGAGCAAAATAAAGCAAAACGGTTGGCTATTTTTCTGTTTACAACCTTCATAACTATTGGATGTCAATGAGACAGAAATATGATTCGTTTGTAAAGTTGTCAAGCAAGAGTACAGACTGACTAGTGTCTCACCGCTGTAGCTCTCTCTAGTGATTACGCACTTCGTTATTAAGATATCAGCACGAGCCTTGACCAAAGCTTGATGAGCACAAGCACCCCAATTCACCCCTTGCCCCTTCTACCAGATCTGGCTGGATCCATCCCTGGTGGAACACATCATATTTTCCTTGTTTTTCAGGGACCGTGGGCGAAGTGGGTGCTTCCTGACTCGGGTCAAGCGGTACTACCCACGACACATGATAATGAAGAAACATATCCCTTGGGTATGGCTGTTACTTTCGCTGTCACCAGAC